TCTGTGTCTGTCTATCATCTATCTATATCTATCTATCTATCTATCTATCTATCTATCTATCTATCTATCTATCTATCTATCTATCTATCTATCATCATCTATCTACTGTATAAGAAATATTAAGATCTGAGGGTCATTTCAAAAAATCCTTTCTAAATGAGCAGCTAGAAGCCAGGAGGAACCGAGGTGCCAAATTTCAAATTTGTAGGCTTTACGGTTCTGGAGGTTTCGTGATGCCGCGTGAGTGGTATTTCTCTTTTATATATATATATATAGATTTTGTAGGCCGGATCTTCTTCCCGATCCCCTGAGGCCATTCCCACATGTGTTTTCAGCCACCCCCGTGTGGATGGGATCAAGGATACTCGTACATGGCTTCCCTGCCGTGCTCGGCCAGGACACCCAGCCCAAAAACGGCATTGCTGCGCACTTCCTGGTCCTCGTCGCGGGCCGCCCCCATCAGCAATGGCAGCAGGTGGGGTACAAATGAGCTGGAGGCCCCTCCCAGGCCCTGGACCGTCTCTGCAATGACGCCCACGGCGAAGGACTTGTCCGCGGTGGAACAGGATGGTTTCTGCAAAAGGAGAACAGGAAGAAAGAGAAAGGAAGGAAGGAAGGAGAGAGAGAGAGAGAGAGAAAGGAGAGGAGAGAGAGGGAGAGAGAGAAAGAAAAGGAAGGAAGGAAGAAGAGGGAGAGAGAAAGGAAAGGAGAAACAGAAGAGGAAAGAAAGAAGAAATCAGAGAGGGGGGAGAGCGAAAGGAAAGAAGGAAGGAAGGGAAAGGAAGGAGAGAAAGAGAGGGAGGGTGGGGAAGGAATGAGGGAGAAAGAGGGAGGAAGGAAAGGAAGAGAAGAGAATGGGAGGGGAAGCAATGAGGGAGGGAGGAAAAGGGAGGGGAAGGAGAGAGGGAGGAAAGGAAGAGAAGAGGGAGAGAGGGAAGCAAGAAGAGGAGGGAGGGAGAAAGGAAGGGAGGGGAAGGAACGAGGGAGGGAGGGGAAGGATGGAGGAAAGAAAAAGGAGAGAAGGGGAGGGAGAAAGGAAGGGAGGGGAAAGAACGAGGGAGGGAGGGGAAAGATGGAGGAAAGAAAAAGGAGAGAAAGGGAGGGAGAAAGGAAGGGAGGAGAAGGAACGAGGGAGGGGAAGGAAGAAGGGAGGAAAGAAAAGGGAGAGAAAGGGAGGGAGGAAGGGGAGGGAGGGAGGGAGAGAAGGAAGGGAATGGAGGGAGGAAAAGGAGGGGGAGGTAAGGAGGAAAGAAGGAAAGAAAAGGAAAAGAGGGAAAGTGGAGGAAAGAAGGGAATGGAGAGAGGGAAGAAAGAAGGAAGGAAAGACCCCAATTGCCATTAGTTGAAAATGGCCTTCAACAATGGACACCCACTCCCCGCCTAATAGTTATTTTGGTGAGGGAGGGATGAAATCAGCTCACCATCTTGTTGAGGAGTAGCGGCAAGAAGCCGGCAAAGTAAGGAGCGAAGATCTCCCCTCCGGTCGCTTCCGCGAGGACGGGGATCAACTCCCCGGCGTACTCGATCAGCATGCAGTCGTATTCCGCCTGCTGGTGGAGGTGGGGAGAGAACGGGAAAGAGAGGGAGGTGAGGTTTTTGGCGTTCCTCGAACCCAGGACCCCCCACCTCCGCCAGAGGCCAAAGAGGGAGGCTCCCCCGTCCCATCATCCTTCCCCGTTTTTTCCCCCAAATGGATGTCGTTAAGTGAGAGGTTCATTAAGGGAGTTTTGACCCATTTGTACGATTTTTCTCGCCACCGTTGTTGAGTGAATCGCTGCAGTTGGTGAGTCACCTGGTTGTTAAGTGAATCTGGCGTCCTCACTCAGTCAAAAGATCAGAAAAGGGGATCACATGACTATCTATCTATATATCTATCTCTCTAATCTCTCTCTAATCTCTCTCTCTCTCTATCTATCTATATCTATCTATCTACTTATCTATCTACTTATCTATCTATCTATCTATCTATCTATCTATCTATCTATCTATCTATCTATCTATCTATCTATCTATCTACTTATCTACCTACCTACCTACCTACCTACCTACCTATCTAATCTATGTATCTATGTATCTATGTATCTATGTCTCTATCTATCTATCTATCTATCTATCTATCTATCTATCTATCTATCTATCTATCTATCTATCTATCTCTCATATCTGTTTTTTTCTTTCTTTCTTTCTATCCTATCCTTCCATCCGTCCATCCATCTCATATCTCTAATCTGTTTTTTCTATGTATCTATCTATGTATATATCTATCTATCTGTGTATCTATCTACATCTACATCTACATCTACATCTACATCTACATCTACATCTATCTATCTATCTATCTATCTATCTATCTATCTATCTATCTATCTATCTATCTATCTATCTATCTATCTATCTATATCTATATCTATATAGTGATGTGGCCGTTAAGAGAACACGGTAGCTGCAAAATAAATGCCATGGTTATTAAATGAACACTGGGTGGATTTCCAATCTTACTTCATCGTCATCATCTTCATCGTCCTCATTGTCCTGACAGGCTACCTACAGAGGGGAAAGTAAGTGAAAACTCACTTTTTACACACCGAATCAAACTTTTTCTGTTCACCCACCAAAATGCCCACAAAAATGCCAACCAGCTACACGGAGTTTGAATCCGATATTTAGACTGGGAGAAGTTGATCGCCACCCCCCCTCCCCCCGCCCGTGCCCAGGGCTACACACCGAGTCCTCGACTTACGACCAACATTTCTGTTGCTACGCGAGGCAACCGAGTGAGTTGGGGCCCGTTTTTTAGGACTTTGCCCAGCGTCGTTAAGCGAATCGCCGTGCTCGTTCAGGGACCCGTGCGGCCGTTAAGCGAATCCGGCTTCCCCACTGACTTTGCTCGTTGGAAGATCGCAAAAAGCGTGAATGCCGCGACTCGTCATAAACACGAGTCGCCTGCCGAGCGACGGGATTTGGATTTGGCAAACACGGGGAGGCTGACGTGGCCGTCAGGGTTGTGACTTTGGAGGGGTCGCTCAAGGGAAGGTTGTAAGTTGAGGAGCATCTGTAACGCAGTGGAGGAGGGGGGAGGAAGAGGAGGAGGAAGGAGGAGGAAGAGGAGGAAGGCTCACTTTCTGTTCCAGCACCTCCCGTACCACCCGGCAGAGGTCGGTCAGCTGGGCTGGCTCCGGTATGACGTCCCTCTTACACTCCTTCACCACTTTGGCCAGGATCTCCAGGACGGCCATCACCACCTCGCGCTCGTGGTCCTCCTGTGCCCCCTTCAGGTAGACGGGCAGCAGGGTGGAGACCAGCTTCTGAAAGGCTGTTGGGGGTGGGGTGGGGGGGGAGGAGAAAAGGTTTGGGAGAGAGGGAGGGAGGGGAGGAGGGGAGGAAGGAAGGGGGAGGGAAGGAGAAAGAAGAAAAGCGAGAGAGGGGGGAAGGACAAAAGAAGTAAGGGAGATGGGAATTAGAGGGCGGGAGGAGAGAAGAGGGGGCGAAGGAGGGAGGAACGAAGGAAGGAAGGAAGGGGGGAGGGATAGAGGTATGAGAAAGAAGGAAGGAAAGAAGGGAGAGAGGGAGAGGAAGGGAGGTGGGTATGAGAACGAAGGAAGGGAGGGAGAGGAAAGGAGGAGGGAGGAAGGAAGGAAAGAAGGGGGAGGGATAGAAATATGAGAAAGAAAGAATGAAGGAAAGAAGGGAGAGGAAGGGAGGTATAAGAAGGGAGGGAGGGAGGAAGGAAGGGGAAGGGTAGAAGTATGAGAAAGAAAGAAGGAATGAAAGAAGGGAGAGAGCGAGAGGAAGGGAGGTATGGGAAGGGAGGGAGGGAGAGAAAGGAGGGAGGAATAAAGTGAGAAGGGAGGGGGGAAGGAAGGGGGAGGGATAGAAGTATGAGAAAGAAAGAAGGAAAGAAGGGAGGAAGGGATGGAAGGGAGGGAGGTGGGAAGGAAGGGAGGGAATGAGAATAAAGAAAGGAGGGAGGGAGGAGAGGAAGAAGGACAGAGGGAGGAAATAGGAAAAGGAAGGAAGAAAGGGAAGGAGGGAGCAAGTAAAGGAGATGGAAATGAGAAAGAAGAAGAGAGAGAGAGGGAATAAGTAAAATGAGAAGGATGGGGAAGGGAGGTGGAAATGAGAGAGAGGAAGGGAGGGAAGGAGAAGGGAGGGAAATGGGAGGGACGGAGAGAGAAAGGAATAAAGGAAGGAAAGAAGGAGGAGGAAGGGAGAGAGGGAGAAAAGAAAAAAGGAGAGCGAGGGAGGGAAGGGAAGGAAGAAGAAAGGAGAGAGAGAGAGAGGAAGGGAGTAAGGAAAGAGAGACGGAAGGGAGGAACGAGAGGGGAAGCAAAGGAATGAATAACCCTATATTTTCAGACCACAGACCTGTCTAGCCTTAAAAGCAATCCGCCCCCCCCCCCCAAGAAACTCAAACCCACAGGGACCGGAGGGGAGGGGCGAGAAAAACTGCAGGGGTCCCTCTGAGCACCCCCTCCCACTCCCGGAAACCCACTCACCCGCCACATGAGCTTCCGACGGCTCCTGCTTACACACCCGATGCAGCGAAATGATGAACTGTCCCAGGGCTTCGAACGCAGCTTTCCGTACCCGAATGTGGGGGCACTAAAAAAAAGGAGCACCCCCCCCATGAGAGATCAGAAGGACCCCCCCTCAAAAAATGTAGGATGTTTCACCTGCTTTGGAACCCCAAATTTGGGGGCAAAGCAAAGGAATATATAGGAGCAAGAACAATTCTAATTAGAACTATACAGCTAGAGGGGTGCAGAGAGAATAGATCTGCTAAATATAACTCCGCATTGGCAACAGGGGAGCATCCGGCCAGTAAAAAACACTCAGCTCCATTCAGCTGCCCAGACTCCACCCGCAAGGGATTATGGACTTATTAAAAGGTGATGATGATTATTAGAATTATACAGATAGTCCTCGACGTACGACCAAGAATGGAGTCTGCTCGTTTCGGGTGGTACGTCCTTAACTGTCATAAAATGGATCGGCGTGTCACCGCTCGGCATCTGGACATGCACAGGTCAGGTCCTTCACTTAAGACCGCAAATTGAGGCCAACATTTTTGTGACTGTTCAATGAGTTGCGTCCCAGTTTACAACATTTTTGCCACGGATCGCTGCAGCGGTTAAACGAACGGCACTAAGCGAATCTGGATTTCCTCCCCCATTGGTTCAGCTTTTCAGAAGCCGCCTGGGAAGTTTATCATGGGGAAGCACATGATCCCGTGATGTGTAACCATGACATGTGACCATAAACGGAACCCTGGCCATTAGGGTCTTATGACATAACGGTCGTAAAACAGGTTGGTCACAGGGCCAACCCGATTTCAAAAACGTTTTTTGAGGAGGTCGTAAAGAAACCCCACAGCTGTCGTTAAGTGAAGCAAGGTGAGGGTTTCCTGAAAAGCGGAAGTTGGTTTTTCAGCAAAGCAGTCATAAAACCGAGTCATGTGACAGTGGGACCCTGCAAAGAACCATAAACGCCTCCGTTTTGCCACACCTCCACACTTTGTTCACGTGACCCTGGAGGGGGCCCGACTGTCAAACTGTCGAACACAGGTCTAAATCCTTTTTTTCTTTCGTAGCTCTGAACAGTCTCTAAGCAGGTCGTAAGTCGAGGATTACTTGTAAGGACCCTAAAACATACAACACTTCGAGGTGTTTTGATCTCGTTCAGCTTTTCTTCAGCGATGGCCTTCCCAAAGACACCCCCACCCCCCCAAAAATGGATTTTTCCTGCAAGCGATAGACTTCCTCCCGGGTCATCGCCCAACCTTACCGGCAATAACTGGGACACTTCTTGGAACGAGGTCTCTATGTAAGGCAGGAAGGGCATACTGAGGAAAAGAGAAAGAAAAAAGGAGGAGGGAAGGAAGGAAGGAAGAAAAATGAGGAATTTTTGGAGGAAAATTTTTTCCAAGCCTGCAGTCAGCTGTTCTCCCCAGACGCTTGTTGGTTCTAGTCCCGCCTTAGGGATGAAAGCCGCTGGATGACTTTGGGCCAATCACCAGGAGACTGGGAATTCTAGTCCCGCCTTAGGCATGAAAGTCAGCTGGGTGACTTTGGCCCAATGACCAGGAGACTGGGAATTCTAGTCCTGCCTTAGGCATGAAAGTCAACTGGGTGAATTTGGCCCAATCACCAGGAGACTGGGAATTCTAGTCCCGCCTTAGGCATGAATGTCAGCTGGGTGAATTTGGCCCCATCACCAGGAGACTGGGAATTCTAGTCCCGCCTTAGGCATGAAAG